CACGCGTTGTCTCCGGTTTTTCTAGAATCGGTTCTTTTGTTCTTTCAATAATTTTATAGTTTTTTTTTTTACACAACCGTGGACATTTTTTTTAATAACGTCCTCTTACTCCGTGGTCCGCGGTGTCCGACGATGGTCAGACGCGATTCGTTCCCGGTATACGAGCCAAAGTAGTGTATCTTCAATACAGTAAACCGTCTTAATTACTCTGCGACAGACACAATACAATATAACCGCTGCGCATTCCGGTCATAATGTAGTCAGCTGTTTCCGGAAACCGCAACGGCACGCATTATATCATTTTTATTATACGATTCCTTCAGCACTCAGCAGTCGCGTTTAACCTCCCTATAGTGTATGTGTATAGACTATAACGCTCGTTATTTCATATTTCATTGCGCCGGACAGTGTGCTTCATACACAATATAATAATACATTAATAACGACTTTTTAACACCTTTTGCGGACTCGTTAGCCATCGTATATATGCGTACTTACGCCACCGACGATCGATATCTCTGCGCGCGGTAGTCGTATCTCGTGAGATCATCTCAACAGATATGACATTCCTGATTTCAAAAGTCCTATTATTGTCACCATCGGCTAGCCGTTTACCGTTATTATGCTATTGCGTTTACCGGTATTTTTTTTCAGCGTCGATATTATATATATATATACATTTTTTTGTAAGCGATATTTTAAGGCTGACCCCGAGCAAAGCATGATAATTCTTCGATTTTTTCACACTTCCAAACGAGAATTAACACCCACGCTCGCCTGTATACTGCAAACGTATTTTTCCACTGTACCTATATAAATAACTGTATCATTCGTTTTCGGCTATTAGCGATATAACCTTTCATTGAGTATGTATTATGTAAATTCGCAACAACTATTGTTGTTATGAATTTTATCCAGCAATGATAATAATATTATAACCGCTATTGGGCTTAAGTATCGTTTGTAAACTTAAAATGTTATTGCTATACAATTAGTTAGCTCAAAGTTAAAACCTATTATTTCGAAACGAACGTAATATGAATGAATGTAATAATTACTATAAAACGTGCGCTACACCAGTAAATGCGGTTTACCAACTGGTAGTATTGTAAAATATTCACTTATATGGAAAACAATAGCGTAGGCATTATAGTTTCAGGTTACTTTCTTCGAGAATGTTTTTTTTCGACGGTAAACAATAGTTATTTATTTTTTTCAAATCCCATATTATTTTGTTTGCTATTATGTCGTTTAATGTGATTCGTACAAATACATCAGCACAGATGTTGTTATTTGTGCTGTATCGGGTCATATGTATTGGCTACTACAATCGCAAACAATAATAAGAATAAGTAAGGCGGAATTGTTTTTTATGCTGGTTTCAAAGACATTATCTAGGTAAGTTTACTCTGTATAGTGCCTTCTCCGAGTATTTTCGCCCCAAGTCCGACCAGCGCTCTCAACTCGCGAATGCGATTATTTTTTTTGTTTGTTTCATATTAAAAGACATGACTGTAAAAACTTTCTCTTCCCGCATCCCTATTATCACGAAACGTTTCCGCCGCCTGTCACAGAGTTTTGTCCGCCCACACTTTTTATTCAATGCTGCACATTGATAAGCCGAATAGCTGTACACTTTTCAGATCAAACGTTTCGCGCAAACAGATAAATCGTTTCGGTGTCTATGGGTGACTAAGAATAGCGGTATTCAAAAAATATATTTTTAAAACTATTCTCTAAGGTGCTCAGAAATACTATAGTTTAACGTTGCAGAACTAATGTAGAAAAAATATTAATGTCTATAAATATGGTTGGTATTATTTTGGCCTAATCGATTAGCCGACCATAATTGTTCATACTTTTTGACTGTCATTGCAAAATTCAATTAAACAAACCTCATATCATATGAGCGAAAAAGGTTTGTTTGTTAGACCATTATTTAATTATCGATATCAGTCATATCGATAATTAAATAATGGTCTAAACTAAATAGGACTTGCAAGACAGGAATATTACACTATGCCAGTTAAATGTTCGTTCCAACGTCGTAAGTGTATTTATCTTTTGCTTAATGATGACACAGGTGAATGCACTCGGACTGTGCTCGGTCTGTATTAGGTATTTAAAAAATAGGTAGGTATATTTCATCAGTCCCTGTAGTATGCGAGTCTGCTTACATCCCGTTGTGTGACAAGTCGACTTCGACTACAGGCTTGACGGCGACCGTTATAACTGGCACAAGATGCCATCAGATACTTTTGACATCCGGATTTCTCTAGAACAGTCTGGTCTAGTATGGATGTGTTCTATTACGTCAAGAAAAAAATGATCGATTCTTATATCTTATACCGTTTTTTGGACTTCTTAATTGCGCATTTTCGGTATCACAAAGAAAAAATAGAATTTAACAATACAAATGTTCGTTTATAGGTTGCTAGCCAGCTGCAACCTATCTCGAACTTTATATTCAACGAGCATGAGTCAAGGCGTTATACTGGCTTATCAATCAGTCAATAGAAAATATCAAAGAGAAAAATTGGTAGTATAACAAATAATAATAATTGATAAATGTTTATATTTTTAATATATGTTTTATAAATACATTAACAGTCTTATAGACTACTTACATAGTTAAGTAAAGTAATGAGTATCAAAAAAGTAATTTTTATAAAATTTCATAGAAAATTTAAATTACATTTTAATTCTGTGGTTTTGTGTAGTATTCATTAAAAAAATAATACCAACGACAGAATACGATTTAATTGTTAAATGTTTATAATGAAGAGCTTTATTTTCGAAAAAAAATAATATTACGTCACTTGTACAATACACCATTTTGATTCGCATCACTTTATATAATAGCATTAGGGTACATGAGTATTATTTTAATTGTTTTAAATACAAATTAAGCACATTTTTTTTTTCCAATCGAACCTTACAATTTGTGATTGCTATTTTATGGTTTTACATTATTTAAACGCACTTCGTGATTGTGGACTTTTCTATTTTGTGATCTTCCTCCCTTCCGAGATCTGTGGACGAGTGATCAAACAAACATTGTGTTTACATCAATACAGAGACAGGTTAGACAGAGGCGCACGTGTAATCGCCACGGGCACACCTTTGGGATGTTTTTTACAAGCAATTTAGACCCCAAGTCGTAACGAGACAGTTTCGCGTAAAATTGTGCTCCGCATAAGTGTATTCATTACCATACAGGTACACGGAGCCGGTAAGTCATTGCTGTAGATCCCGGCGAATGGTCATGGACGGTAGTAGGTAGACGTACACTTTGTGTTATCGACCGAGCCGAATGCCGACGACATCGCCAACAAGAGCCTGACGAATCGTAATTCATGGTTCACGCAAAAATCGGATAAAATTACCTGCAGCAACCGGCAACAGCGTCTTAACACTATGTGCGTTCGTCGTGTACTTTTCTTTTGTTCACGAATTTAAATTGCATCCGCGTAGATACATTATAATAATAATAATAATATAACTATTATTATGCGGTATTTTATAATAGTCGGACACGGCGTAGCGTACAAGTGTACCTAAAGAACGTAAATTATTAATCTTCTAATTGCTGCGCATTCACTGTCAAGTCATCCGTTCATATACGTGATTTTTATCCACCTTGCATCAAACAGTAATACCGTCGTATTCGCTCGAGCTATAAGTAGATACTAGTAAGTAGTAGTAGTTAAATGGCCACATGCGTCAAACCTAACAATAAAACGTATAATCAACAATAAACCAAATATCCTCCCGCATAAGTCAACAATAATTAACAGAACGATACATTAATACGAGTATTAAATTAAAAAACACAAATATCGTTTGGTATGTTTCGATTTATCTACTAACGAAACATTATTTTTAAGTGAACGGTCTTTTATGTTTTAACTTTTATACCACAATGTGTTGTTCGCTTGAATAGTCTAGTGGTTTTTTTTTTGTTGGTCTGAACCCTAACATAAAGCATGGTGAAATGATCACGACCTTCGGGTTTGAAGATTAATAACATCTATAGAAGTTACTTGCGTATTGTTCCAATCAATGCATTGCATTCTACTTTCAGGAATCATATGGTATTAGTTATTACAAAACATTATACGCAATAGTAATTGATTTGATAACTTTACTTGGAATATTTTATTTATTCGAACTTTAGTAGTGTCAATTAACGCTTTAAATAAAAATGTATATAGTATATACATTGTATACGGAAAAAATACTTGGTTGGATCAACTAAAATTATGGTACTAAATGTTTAGTTATGCCACCTTTAAATTTATTGTGGTATTAACCATAATTTAAGTTCGTCCACCGTCCAACTATGTATTGTTTTCCACGTGTACTGTAAAGTATCTAATTGTTAATCTTAAACAATATCTTCGCTAGCTATTTGATTATTTAGTTAGTCCTGTTTATAAATTAAACAACAACTAGATATTTAAAGTATTTTTTAGGAATTATGCCTATAGCCCGAGCTGATCAGCTGTGAGTCAGCTGTTGACTCGTTGACTGATACCCTATAGTCAGTGCTTGTAACGTTCTCTTTTATTATCATTAATATAATATATTATCATTTATATTAATATAATTATCATTATCAGGTAGATCACATCAACCGCAACTGTTCCGGGTAACGCGATTGACGACAACATCAATCGCAATTCGCAGCCCTTAGATTTGACGACGTTGGCTCAAGGCCATAAATGAAGCACTCAACCTAGTTTATTGTTTTTTCGCATTTGGATCGCCTAATACGCGTTGAGGGCGTCGGGGGTTCGACGGGCGATCCGGTCACGACGTTGCGACGCTCTCACCAACGTCCGTGTGTTTTATTTCTATTTCTTTTTCGGGGTCATCACACCTCCGGGGGGGGGGGGCCGTTACCGTTTTCACCCGTATCCAGACCGACATCGTGTGCAGGTAAAACAACAATACCGTGTAATAATAATAATAATAATGGACACGAAATGATAGCTTACCTGGATTTTGGCGCGGCCGTGCTGTTGGCACGCCTGCAGGGCGCCCTGGACGTTTGGCCGGTGGCGTGCGAACCGCCTCTCGGGTCCGTCTGCGTGCAGCTTTTGTCGTGCGCGTTGAACGAATGCCTTCGTCTGCCGTCTTCGGCCGTGGTGTGGTATGTGCCGCCGGGTGTGTTTCCGCCAGAGCCGTTGTTGACCTTATAGGACTCTTTCCGGAACTCGCGAAGCCACCTGGTAAACGCTCCTCCGCCGCCGCCATTAGAATCATCCCTGCAATAAAAAAAATGAAGCCGATTAGTGACAAAACAAAAAGTAATCACTTGTCACTGCCCCCCCTCCCAGAAAAAAGGAAAAGAGGCATGCTCCCGTCCGTATAAACAAAATCTTCAAGACGTCACTAGTTACGGCCCGTAAGTGAACTGATAGATAAACTGGTAAAAATTAGGGCCCTGGATGGGTCAAAAGAACAGGCCAAAGCTGGTTCAGTCAATCCCGATGTACAACATTTGTTCAGCAATTGGGTGAACTGATGAGTCCAACCTACTAGAATATTGCGCATCAGTTTCAGTAATGAAGGAAAAATATTAGTCATTTTCGAATACATTTTTATTTAAATGAATTCATTAATAAAAAAATAACTAATATTCATTAATTCGTTTAATCGTATCTATTACCATGATTGATTTTTCAATTGTGATTAAATTAACTTTCTATATATGATTAATTTTGTAGTCATGACTTTTTAACCGTTAACCATAATTCCGTTTTTGATTAACATGTACATAGGTATTATAATAATATGTGTACACCGTTATGCACATTTAAGTACTTAAAACGCGCAAGTCGCGGACACGTTAATGCTTCTACATTACATTCTACATAACTGAGCAGTGAGCATTATTCAATAATTACTGGGTAATATAAACATTTTGCTTTACAGTGATTAAGGATAATTATTTTAACTAAGAGTTGTAAGAAAAATCTTTATTATAAATTTTAATGTTTTAAATCGCTTTATAGTGTGTTTAAGTCGAAAACATCACGTCTTAATTAATAGTGAATAGTCAATATATAAAGTTAAAATTAAATACTTCGTTATTCATACATAATATTATATACAACGATATTTAATTTTCAAGGCCACCGCCCTATCCAGAGGGTACACGAGTTTTAATGCGGGTATAAGGGTGCGTAAATCTAAAAGTACACAACAAATTTAAATGGATCCTTGGACAAATTTACCAACGAAGAACGAAGACGCACCGGCAACAGACACCACAAATGACAAAACTAAACTCGACATCGGTCGCTGAGTAGCAAAAGCCTGTCAACGACTGATGTGCAAAGTCAATTCCATGAATTTCTTTTCGATTACTTGACTCAACTGTATAGAAATATAATTCCTAGCAATTGAAATAATACTTCCAATGGCTCTAGTCAAAGTGGAGTTCAATTCCAATGATATAGTAACGAATCTGTCTTAATGTTCATTTTCTAAAGGTCAAATTGAAAAAAAAAACTTTACATCAAGTGCGAAACAGCGTACTCGTTTCTTTTTACTCATGAAATAGACAAATATATTCTACACATATGACTGTCACAAACGTTTAAAAACACCAAACACAAAAAAACCTAATCAAATTGATAAAATTATTTTTGGCGCCTATGCTACACTGTAGCCCAAGGGCTCGCCATTGAATATTACTACACACACACTCATTGTTATATAGCGCGTATATACTATGGGAAGTCATATTTTTTTTTATGTAATAAAACCCGTGTATCGTCGGTTGACCTTCTCCATCACTCTCTTTTTCAGCGTTTCTTTTCTTTTCTGTCCTGGCGAGGCGACGCCAAAAGTCGGTCATAATAATAATAATATTTCCAATACACTTGTGGGTGTAGTAATTATTGCTCTTGTTGATGCAGATCTTTAAAAAAAAAAAAATTGTTTTTATTATAGTGACACCCGGAACGCGGACAATTTATTTGACACCGAGATTTATTGCGGTATACCATTAGAATAATATTATTATTATTAATACAATACTACACACGGATGTATATATTTATGTACAATATTATTTTTTACACGTTACCCACGTAGACTGCATTATATGGCATTATTTTGCCTGTTACACGGCTCAGTCGACAACCAAATACCTTTCCACCTACATTTCACTTAGGGCGCGCTTACGGCATTATACGTGTGGTCTCAGTAGGGTGTTTCGAGTTCTTTTGGCAACTTAACGTGGTCGATGCCAATCTCCGTAGAAGACAAGTACAATAATAATAATTATATGACATAAAGCGACACCTAAAATAATATTATTACCCGTATGAGTGCGTGGGCTAACGAGATGTTTTTACACGGTTCGTCGAATCGATTGCTGTGGTGTTTATTGTCCATAATATGAATATCATTAACATAATAAATTACAATTTACACTACTATCTGTTTTTTTTTCTTGTCACATTTCTTTTAAAGCGCGGGTTGTATTTCTTCTGAAGATTATTCATTTACACAAAAGATAAAAATATAACATTAGTATATTACATTATATTTTAATTTTTATGTGATAAATCAATGGATGACAAACTAGCCCATGTACTATTGTGTTAATTTTCGGCACTAACGTTAAAAGAATATATTACAATTATTCAAATAACAATACTGGGCTAAAGTTGAAATAGGTGTTTTTTGAAATAAAATATACATTAAGTGGTACATAAAAATTCAAATATATCTCCTCATTATTCTACTTTGCTACTAGTTTCAATAATTGTTGGCCAAATTAGTACTTCAATTCCACCCAAAAACACTTTTCTTCAACAGTCGTCCATATTATTCTTTATCCATAGAAAACCAAGAGATGATAATCTCGCTTAACCTAATAAATTATTTGGGTCTTCATATACACGTGTCTCGACATCGGTGTAAACAATAATATTAATCGGACTGTGAAAGTTATTTGTAAAATATTTCAAGAATCTATCGATCTATAGTCCTCTCAGTGTCAAGGTTGTTGGTAAAATGATTTAAATTGTCGAAGATCTGTCGAACGGAACGACGGCCGAATAGACACTCACACATACTCAATTACGGATTCTAACGAATTTCCAAATGACCCCAAGACCTATGCAATCGTATAGTCTAGGTATTATTTTCTACTGGAAGCGAATTGTCCGGCGGGCCAAGCTCGGCGTTTGAGAATAAATTACTGACTATGTGCGTTTTTTGCCCACGAATGATACGGCCGATCAACAATACAACTTTTTTTTTTCCATCATGTATGTATAGTATAATAATATTATGTATGTATGTCTTTATCCGTTTTATTATTATTGTTACTATCATTTTTTTTTTACTTTCTACGACGGGCGTGGAACCATGTAGATTATAGTATCTGCCGTCCATCATCATCATTATAGTCGTTGGTCGCCAGGTGTAAATGTGTGGTCAATGCACTTCGGTCCTTGACAAGGTCATGGTGGCAACGGGCGGCGAGAGGTGTGTGGCCACGGAGAGGTACGCGTTATCTTCATACGCAGCAGTGCACCAGATGCACATAACAATATTAATATTAATAATAATAATGGCGTACAATGTACGCAGCCTCCGGGCCGATAGGAAAAAAACCGTTTTGTCAACGTCAATATTCCGGTCAAAACGTCAAGTGTGTTGTTGACTAGTGATTATTATTTTGTACAAACACAACCGTATAAATAAATTGTGTTGTATCTTGTAATAGCGATGCTCGAAACGTGTCTTACCGTGTCTTACTGGCTTAAGACGTCTTCGTCGTTGTTTATAGGTGAAAAGCGTCGACGTCGCTACTGGTGATATTGGGCGGCGGGTCAACTGGTATCACAACGAAACCGGGTAAAAAAAAAAACAGACAGGAAGTTAATAGAGGAATTAACTGCGAGGTGGAAATAATTGGTACCGTAAAAGATTCATCGGGTATGACGTCGTTGAAAAATAAGACAATGTGCTTTTGTTATCCGAGATGCCTGCGTGTAACTGTTAAAAATCAAAGTAATCACTTTGTTAAAAAAAAAAAAAATAATAATAGATGTCGTAAAATTCTTCCACTAATCATGTTGTAGTCAATCAGTTCGATACACTTTTTAAAAATAAGCCTTTCAAGAAAATATTATTATCATGTTAAGGTGCACACTCGATACGATAAACGAAAATTCTATGCATATACATACTATAAACCACTTTACACCAGGGGCGTATACAAGGGGGAGTTATGGATGTTGAACCCCCTCTTTTATATACTTAAATTGTATTCATTAAAAGTGTATTTTTTTTGTTATAATATTAATATAGTGTATTGTTGTAGATTTTGTTTACTATGTATAAACGTTAACTCTATAACTATTGCTTACATATACTTAAAGTGAATTTTCTTCTAGCCTTTCCCTTTTTTCATTCCTAGATCCACCCCTTCTTTGCACCTCTTACACAGTAGTCAGTGCGAGAGAGCATAGATTTTCCAAATGAAATTTCACTATAACAATCGTGGTTTTTGTTCCCTTTTGAATGTATTGTCGACAATCTGCAACCGTTTAAGGACATTTCGTGTACCTACTTGGTATTATAATTGTTATGTACACAGAAACTATGTGATTCGTCTGACAGTAAAACTTCTGGTTACCGTGTTTGAACCAACAATTACTCTAGCAAGAATCGGTAATGACGGCCAAGGTGTTGTCTACACGAGTCAGTATCACGTCTCAGGAATTTTCATTTCAAATGATGGGATGTTCGTCGAGACGCCGAGTTGATTGATTACTTTTTCATAGCAAAACTGCCCTATAAGTATAAGTAACTACTACGCACAGTAGTATGCAAGTATGCAGCCGAAACGCGTGTAAATGTCGACGGGTAAAGATTGCGTCTCGGAAGATCTTAGACTTCGTTTTACATTTTAATAATAATTAATTTTGGTTTGCTTTTACCTATTTTATTATGTCGTAAATCTCTAAGTCCCAGCTCCTAGACAATAGTTTAAGTATCGGAAAAGTATTAGTGTATTAGAAATACATTGACTACATGCAATATCGAGATAGATGATGCAATGTCTTCACGTCCTGTACTGTCGGCGTGAAGAAAACTCGCGGTCTACATTTCCCAATAGTTCCCAAAACGAAAAATGCAATGACATCCATACAACGACTAATAATGGGTGTTGTGATTTGGTTAGGCGTCGTATTATTAGATATTCTATCGAGTATAAAATTTACTATCAAGGCCGTCC